TATTTACACTTTCATGGTTACAACGTAGAAAAGCTCCAGAAACTCTTTAGTAGGTGCGGTAATTGTTTAAGCGAGTTAATCCTTACGCTGACTTGCTCTTCCCCCATTAATCTAACATTGTTGAATAATCCCAAAATTTGTGAAAAAAATCAGATAGCTCTTACGTTTTTTCTAGACACGCGAGCATGCCGATCTCCGATCAACGTCGAAAGAGAATAGATTCGAAATTCCAATCGTTGTAACAACAGCAGCGTAAGGATTAATGTAACGTGTGATCAAAGTATATCTACATTTGTTCGTTGGTTACGATCAAGTCCCTTTTAGTAAAGTCAAATTAGTCGATAATCTCTTAAAACACATCTGGGCGTACGCGTGAGTATATGCGCATACGTCTAACAATCGAAATACTATTGTTTCTATCGCGCAACGAGTATTACACGTCAATGAATCACACGGCAAAACGGCCGATGAAGAGAAAAAACATGTGTACGTGATTGTAGCAACCTAACGAAGCGTCAGCATGAGGCGATCCGCATCCCATGCATCGATTTTATCCCTTAATCCTGCTGCGATCTTCGATTCGTCTTCGATTCGTCTAGTATTTCCCGACGTATCAAGTTTGAAGAAATATGGAGATTACAGGGGAAGAATGTAATAAGTGTAATTTTTTGATATTTATGTCATATGGTAATTGACTAAACATACATAAATAAATGACAAAATAAATATTTCAATATTTATCTGTACAATGTATACTTCTATCATTGAAAATTTATTCTTTAATTGTTTTTTATGATACAACGTAGTTTATTAGTACTTATTGTTAAATAATTTCCGGTTTTATAGAGAGAAAAATCAATATTAATTGAGACGATATGCTCTACATTTTGAAATCACTTGAAAATAAGATAATTACTCTGTGAAGATTGACGCAGTTCTTGATATACGATGCAATGAATAATCATGTATGAAATTGGCTTACATAAGATGCAACTAAGATATTCGCAATTATATGTACATATACTGATTGTCACTTAAATTAATGTAATAAATTTTCTTGAAAAATATATAAATATTTTCCAAGGGAATTTTATAGCCAAATTTAAGTGTTGAACAATTTATCACATCTCTTCTCTGTCATCTCCATGTAAAAAACTATTATTTATATATCGTTTTCTACATTAAACTGTGGATATTTATGCGGTTTCATATCTCTATAAACACAATCAAAAAATAGAGAATTTCATGCAGAAATTTAATTGAATTATTGTGTGATATATTTTTGTATACTATAAATATTTCCTGCTTTCCTCAAATTTCCCATAAATGCATAAAAATCCATTTATTAATATTTCATATTAAATATCTTTTATGTTTATCAAACCGAAAACAAGATTGAGATATAAAAATTGAAGATTGAAATTAAGGTATGAAACTGAATCGAATAATAAAGATTGAAATATAAGAACTGCAGCAAGATTGACGAGACTTTTATATCGATGAGCGAGTTTTATTTATCGGATACGTGGAATGCCAATCGAAATTAATACGTGATTCAAGCAGCTTTTCGTTACGGATTAATTAGAATTCGATTTGCGATCTATGCTGTCGATCTATGCGAAACGATCCCGACAATCCCTTTCCTTTTCATCTTCTTTTGGATTAAGTTGGGCTGTATATCGTCGCTCCGTCGAGCTGACAATCGATACGTGCTCATTGCTCGACCGAGATAAATCATTAAAAAATAAATGCCACACGTACGGATGGAGACAGAATATGAGAAGACAAAAAGAGAGAAAAGACGAGTAAGGTGGATGAGAAGAAAAAATAAAGAATAAAACAGAGAAACAGGTCAAAGAGGGGGGGGGGGAATAGACAAGACGTGGGATATTGAGAGAACATCTGAAACGTTGAATCGAAGATTTAGGATCATCGATATACACCCCGAATTAGTAGAGACAGAGAAAAGTGAAAAGGTAAATCGATGGTGAACTGGTTTACATTTATTTTTAAGTATCGTTAATTTGCTAATCATGAAGGAGCAGAAGATAAATCTACTTATAAAATGAAGTAATAATATAATAATAATAATACTGCCCAACTATGAGTAAAAATAATAAAGAATATAAAATATAAAAAGCAAAATAAATGTGTCTTGATTCTATTCTGTTTGGGTTAATTTAACCTACACATTTTGATTTCGTCCTATATAGTTTAATTTATCCTACGGGCAATTTTCATATTTTTCTGATGAAATTTATATCTTATATGTTTCGGTTTATCACAATGAAACTTCTAACTCTCGAACAAGATAATTATTCAAAGAAGAATCGAAGAATATTATAATATTATAATTATATTGATTGTTAGCACGAACAGGAGAGTAGTTAAGCCATAACCGCTAACACTATAAAAGTTGATCTCAATTTCTTACAATTTAATTCTTCAGTTAATAGTATTTTCCTCCATAGTTGAACAATATTGATATACTGATCGTGAAAAATTGGTTGAACTAATATTATCACAGATCGAGGAAAGGCAAACAAATGTAAACCATACCATCTATGTTTGAGCACGTGGATAGCGATAAATTTTGTCTAATTTTCTATTATACTTACTATCGAAGTTTAAGGAAATAGTGGCGTTGGATTCGCCGAGCTCGTTCTTCGCGGTGACCTTATATTTACCAGCATCCTCGACGGTCACATTTTTGATTTCCAAAGTCGCGAAGTACGAGTGGCCATCTTTATCCACGGTTAGCTGAAAGTTCGTTCGCGAGATAAATATACAATGAGAATTGTATAAACACAATTAGCTTAAAGATTATTAATTCAAGATTCTAAGAAATTATTATTGTCGAGACGAACCTTATGCCTCGGTGAATCTTTAACCAAACTTCCATCGTGAAACCATGTTACTTTTGGCGTGGGATCAGCCGTGATGCGACATTCGAAAAGTAATCGTTTACCGTCGTCTTCTTGCCTGATAGCCGGCTTCTTCGCAAAAGTTGGCGCGATTCCATCGATTTGTCTACAAGTGCGGACGGAAAAATTTAAGGTGGACAAGGAAAATTATTGTTATATTGTCGTTTGTAAAATATCACACTTCAAACGTAACTTCTAAAGTATCATCATCCTTGTTACAGGGGAGAAGAGAGTATTACAATGTTGGTAAATGCCGCCTGGTTGTCAGTGGAACAGGCCGGTATTTGGTCAGACGGGCCAAAATTCACAAAGACTTTGCAACACGATACTTTTGCAAGCAAAAATACATCTTTATCGCCGTTATGTTACGTTATGCATAACGTTGTACCTAAGAAAATTATTCACACAAACAAAACAGAGAGAAACACATGTATGCTCGTCAAATGTGCCGTAGAATTTAAACGCAATGTTGTCGAACCGATGCCAGCAATATTCCTCGTTTTTGTTTAGGCAATAGATCTACGAATGAGCGGTATCATACTATGGCCTCGTTGTTACACAACAGGAAGAGAAAGCTCTAATGGCTCGTTTTAGAGACGCTTCTATACTACTACTAAAAGTCTCCCTAAATCGCAAGTTCAACGACCTCTTTTCATTCAAGCCACATTTTGATTTACCGAGAAATTTTCACCTAAAAATACTGCGTCGTACTTATTTTAAAACGATCAGAAATATCCAACGCTCTCACATGTATCTTCAAATACACAAGATATTGCAGAAAATTGCAGAAAATAAATGGCGGTTCTACATAAATTGAGAAAAGTTGAGCAACAATTTTTCGTTTAATATCAAGTAATATGTTGAGTTCGGAAATCTCTTGATTTCTGAGTTGACACGAGTTAATTCAGTTTAAACGAAAAGAAATAATTTGCACAAAGATATTCCATACGTTTGAAAGTAAGTGAAAAATATCGAATGAAACTTCTTTATAGCTTTAGCCTTTGTTTCCTTTGAAAAATTTAATTTCACACGCGTACCAAGACAATTTTTATTAAACTTAAATGAAAAAATTTGGTTCTTTCTTTATGACTTATTCTTACATGTTGCGATCGGCTGCACATTCCAACTGATTCTACCATGATTTTCAAAAACACAATTTCAATGTAACAGAATGTCAAAATTGCAATAACGCGATATTCTCATGACACGGTTTCTATACAGAAACATTTTAATAAATTTGCGAATGTTTCCATCATATTGTTTAGTCGAAATACGCAGGAAGAAAAGATTATATTTTCGATATAACACAGAGGATTATTTGTATAACAAGCATACTCATTCGTTCACTAACATCGATCAACACGAGCATTGGTGAATCAGTGAAATTAAAAATTCTCGTCGATCAATGGCCCAACTCCAGTTTAAATTAGCTATCATTGGTGCGACGTCGATTCGTCGAGCAGAATTTGCCATTACTGCCACAGCGTTTAACAAAAACGAGAAAAAGGAAGAGGGATAGAGAAGCGATCGTTCCAAAGTGTAAAACCAATAAGATCGCGCGATAGGAAAGAACGGCGGCAGAAGGGAGGAAACGTCGAAACTAACTTTAGCAAAGAAGTAGGCTGCAGCTGTTTCCTCCGGCTTCCACCGGCTACAGTCAATTAGCTGATTCGTTTCGCGGATCACGATTCGCTCTCGTTGTGAAATCCAGAACGGAAAAATTTCGCGACGTGGTGGCTCAGGAAAGAGTGTTTCTCTGAGAGAGAGAGAGAGAGAGAGAGAAACGAAAACATTGGTTTCGCGAGTCGATGAAGAATTTAGAAAGGTATGGGCGTCGATGGCTCGCGTTACTTTTAGAAATTCACGGGAATCATGTCTGTCGAACAGATCCGAAAATATAACATCTCGCCGAGCGCTTCTCGTCATGCTTCCGAAGAGGCAACTTTCGACCCAATTTCTACCTCCCGTAGAAATTCGACGGAATTTCACGAACAGTGAAGAGAAAAAGAAACGATCATGTAGAAATACTTCGCTGAATAATCTCACGCAACATCGGTGATGTGACATTTAAAACGCAAGTCGTCAAAATGAATGTAAAATATTGTATGTAAAGATATCTGGAAATATCATAATCTAGCTTGTTTCTTCGTTCCTTGATTGACAAACTAAATTAGGTATTAGGTTGTTCAGAAAGTTCGTAGCATTTTTTACATTAAATATATTGTCTCATATTCTGTATCTTGCATTTATATTGTACTGTATATTTTGTTTATATTTATTTTTATATATTCGTTTTATAATTTATATTTTTTATTATATTTTCTATAATTTATGGAATTTATAAGAGGATTATTAATTATGAAATTTTGATGAAATACGAAATGCATTAACCAAAGAGAAGGATCTGGCATTGTAATTGTTATTTTTTCAACAAGAAATATGTTCCTGTACTTCAACTAAAGAAGAAAGATAAAAAATTATCTAACAACTTAAATATTCAACATTTATTAAGAATTTGGCTCAACTATGATTTACCTTGATCTCTGAAAAACAATCCACTTTTAATAAGGAATTGAACACTTCAGAAACTTGTGAAAAATACTTGGAAAATTCATTGCTAAAAGGAGACAAATTTATACAGAAACGAAATATAAAAACTAACTAATAAGTAATTATATAAATTACAAATATATATTAATATAATAAATTTATTAAATTAACTTATTATATATATATAATAAATTCATAAATTTATGAATATATTTATAAATTAATTTACAATACAATTATATAAATAGATTTATTATGTCATAATCAAATTTCTTATAACTTCAGCTACAAACAACCCAAACAACCCAGTGATTAGCAAAGCCAATGAAAAGCAAGTGAACGAAAGAATTCAACGTAGCAAGGATCGTGAATAATCTGATGCTGCCACGTGCATACATAAATACTTTTTGATGGAAAAATTTCGGAGGGACGCGTCGAAGATAGACGAACGTTCGGCGAACAAATGTCGTCGGTTAAAAGACCGAGAGAATGAAAATAGAGAAGGTGAGGTTCTCGATTCTATTTCCACGTCGGCCAGTCAGACTCGTATGCGTGGGCAGAAGAAGAAAACTGAGCGATCGGCCAGCTAGAACAGCTCGGTGGCTGTCGGTTTCTCTTATCGGACGCGCGCGTGAGCGCACGTGAACGCGTCCGAAAATAGCGAGCATTCCGCGACGATTATTATTAGTTAGCCGCATTTGATGTGCGGACCTAAACATTATCGACGTAAATCGCTCGTTTCGTTACGCTTGCTCCCTATTTTCCTCTCTGTCTCTACCTAACCTTGGTTAGTTTTTTTGTTTGATGCAAGCTCAAGCTCCAAACCACGTATGTACAATCATGTCAGTCATGGAAGTCATGTGAGTCGAGAAACTCTGCATACAAATCTGCAAGATTCGAATATACTTCGAGGGAAACAAGTATTTAAGAAAACGGTAATTATAATTTGATAGTTTAGATAACGAACATAGAATGTAGACTTCTGTGATTGACTGTAATTAACATTGATTATAATCACTCTTAGGCATTCGCTGATGTTCATTAGAAAGAAAAAAAAAAGAAAAGCAAGCGAATCACTCACCCCTCTCTGTCTAACTCTTCCGCCACTAAAATCATGAAAAGACAAAAAAGCGTAATAAGCGAAGCAAATAATATATAGAACACAGAGAAAACAAAAAAGAGATAAGAAGCACGAGATAAAATAAATAGAAATTAAAAGAAAAAAAAAGAGAAGTAAAGAGCCTGGAGAAGCGACAAACTGTTTATCTTTCGAAATAGCAATCGATCGTCGGAACTTACTTCTCTCTAGGCTCGTCGACAGCTGGAAAATAACGAAATTTTATTTCGATTTGTTTTGTTCAATCAGAACGATGAAGGAAAGCTAATTTGGACACGCAATGCTGAGTGAAATAGTATTTGAAATAAAAATTATGAGCATTTGCAGATCAGTACTTTCCACAAGCGTTACATTAGTTATTTGAAATAATTATTTATCTTCATACTGATTGAAGTATTATTTGAAATATATTCAATTCAATTATATATTTCAATTGTTGATTTCAATCATATATGTTTCAATTATTAATTTCACTGAGATAAATTATTTTTATTGATGTAATTCAGAGTGTATTTCACCTCATTAATGCCATATGATTATTCATGCGATATAATCTACAAAAGTTTGTTCAACAGTATTTGGAACGAGAGAATAAAAATAATTCCTCATATGAAGAGATTAGTAGATATCGTATGAATAATCGTATGAAATTAATAAAGTGAAATACACTCATTTTACATCAATAAAATATTAAAGTACTGTCCGTACTAATACAACAAAACCGAGGAGAAATACACGTAATACCTACTCAATAAATAAACTTTTCTTTATATAGTACGTGTACATAATTTTCTTTGTCATTATTGAAACATACAATATATACATAATTATGGAACATACAATATATACATAATAAAAGACTGATAAAGCTACATATCCTTCCAAAAATATTTTTAATCTAACTTAATTCGCAGTTGAATATATCCTAACAAAAATTATTATTGCATCTACTTTTGAAAAAAAAAAAAAAAATTTGTATTTCAATGAATAATTCCCATCCGTACGTCTCAAATGAAATATCTTCGGCGTACTTGTACGCATCACTGTCCGATAAAAGAAATGTTCAAATACTGTTTCACTCTGGCAGAAGTATCGTTTCAATCATCATTTCCAATGCCTTTTACTCGAAATGTATCCAGGATTGGTGAAACGTAATAAAAAGAGAACGGTATGTCGGTTATAAGGACACGGACAGTCCGAGACCGAAAACGAAAGGGTCAAGAACGTCTCTATTAAAAGAACAATCTTTCGAGGTGGTGCACGTAACGCCGTTGCGCAATATGACGCAATCCGACGATGGGGGAGAAAAATAAGTGGCATCGAAGCTTTTCTCAGGCTACTCACGGCTGAAATTCAGGTTAATCGAAGCCGCGACCTCGCCCATTTTGTTCCTCGCCTTGACCTTGTACAGGCCAGCGTCGGTCTCGATAACGTCGTCGAGCTCCAGGACCACCAGGAACTTGTTCGTCCCGATGCTCTGCATCCTGAAGTTGGTCCTGGCGTCCGGGCTCAGCTCTGTCTCGCCACGATACCATGATATCTCCGGTTTAGGCGAGCTGATCAACTGACACTCGAAGATCAGCCGATTGCCGTCATCCTCTTGCCTGAGTTGCGGCTTCTGGGTGAAGCTCGGCGCGAAATCGTCGGCGACCCCCATGGTGTTGGGTCGCCTTCGCCCCTCCTCCCTTTACCGCGAATTTCTCGGGTGGCGCGCCACCCTCTCGCCTTCGGAATCGAGGACTCGCTCGCTTGTTTCTCTTGCTTGCCACCCTTTCTTCGAAATTTTGTCTATGCTCCTGAAATTGGTTCAAACGGCGCCGACC